TAAATGCAGTGAATAGAAGCCTTATTAGTGTTTTACACTTTTTTCACTGACATTCCTAATGGTATGATATTGAATAGTATAATGGTAAGTATGCAAACTGATCCAGATTAGCAAGATCTCTGCAGCCAATCCAAATGTGTAAGTAAACGGACATACAGATAGCAGATTAAAGGAAAACCCTGAATGCTTGACCCCTACAGTGAGGCTGGTGGCTCTGTTATGCTGTGGGGGACATTTTGCTAGCATGGTTTGGTTTAGAGGGAAGGGTCACTGCAAATCAATACAAAATTGTTCTGAGTGATCACCTTTATCTCATTCTGAGGAGGAATGGTCTCTTCTACGATGACAGTGCCCCTCATCCACAGAGCACAAGGGGTCACTGAATGGTTTGATGAGCATGAAAATGATGTGAATCATGTAATATGGCCTTTGCAGTTACCAGATCTCAACCAGGCGAGCGCCTTTGAGAGATTTTGGAGCAACATGTTAGACAGCACTCTCCACTATCACCATCAAAACATCAAATGAAGGAATGTCTTTTGGAAGAATGAAAACATCTTACTAAGAGACCTTATGTCAGTTTGTCACCTGTCAGTACGTTCAAACTCAAGGGGTGAATCTTATCAATTTTCCCAAAACCTACAAGAAAACAAAACCTTTTTGTTCCTGGACAAACTGGGAAAACATTTTGTTCTGCCAGTGTCCCCAGCTCTGTTTCAGCCAGTCGTTCTCCAGGCCTCCGCTGTTGTACAGCCGTTCTGACCTCTGAGATTTGGGGGATGTGATAGGAGTCGACCTGTCAGTGTCTCCCTCAGGGCAGAGTAGTGACATTTAACTCAATATCCCAGCAGGATAAGGTTTCTCCGTCGTTCCCCTCCATCTACTGCCTCTGTCTATCGCTGAAGTGTCAGTACCCTAAGTGTGCAGGGACTACTACAGCTACTACTAAAACCCTGCAAACTGGGACACCTATCATCTCCAGCTCGCTCTGTGGAACTAACATGCCACACCCTTGTACCAGGCTGAGGGCTCAAGCCCTCGCTCCTCCACTTGTGAACTCTATACATGCTCCCAGTTGTCCAAAAGCGTGAAGTACTAATGGTGGTGCAGCTGTACATATGTCTGTCTTATGTAACAGAGACTGTAACTGCTGACTTGCACGGCACATGCAAAGTGAGAGGGACAAGGTGACATTAGTTACTTAAAGATGTGTGGCAAGGACATACTTCCTGAAATAGGTTATCATCATTAATAGTACATTATGTGGGTTGTCCAGCTGAACAATATCATCCAACTGTGCGTAGATATTGAGTGTAATTCTTATGTTTGAGTCTTTTCTTGTTCTAACAACGCTCTCAGTTCTACAGGTTCTATGTTAAAACAGCAGCACTAGCATCTTAACTGCACTATGTCCAGTTTGGATTCATAACCTGCATGGATTTTTTTTTTTTTTTTTGCAAAATGAATTATGGTACAATGGCAGCAACATAAAATCTAATAACACGTTCATGGTGTTGACAGTGAGGACATAATTAGTACTGGGCAATAAGGAAATGGATAAGGGAGCTACAGCATCTGTGTTAGCCGGGTACTTGTTACAGCATTAGCTAACAGTAATAATAGCAGTGGCAGCTGAGTCTCTGAATCCAGGATTCCTGCAAGATAAAAATAGAGCAGGGAACACCGCTCTGTTGGACCTGGTACCATGACAGCTTTGCAGCTTTTTCATTTCAGAATGCTGTACCTTTAGTTTAGTCTCATTAGTCTAACTTTAATCCACTGAGAGAGAATAAGATAAGAAGGTGGAGGACACATTTGAGTCCACAGTGTCATCAGTATCCAAGCAGCACATTGGGCCAAAGTTGTCCTGTTTGTTCACACCATTCCTCACACTTAGGGCTGTACTACATAAGCCCCAGGGGGAGCTGACAACAAAGTCGGTCAAAAGTTGCTTTAATTTTACTGGTGTGCCATTTACCCGACTGGCTCTCAGGTTTTAGAGGCAAGTGTTGTTAGAGTCACAGCATCCTGTTAGCTGTACTGGATCAGATCAACTCATATTTAACTTTAATGTCAGTTTAAGAGGAAATCAGTGTGGTTTTTGCTGCAGGATTGGTAAAGGAACCTACACAAAATTCAGTATTTATATCATTTCTATCTATATTCATTCTGCAGAAAAGCTTGAGCTACTATAGTATGAACTACAGAGATCAGTAGACAAGAATTCCAGTTGTTCCATTACATGTACTTTATGAATAAATTGCACTGTTGGAGAATTTTTCATGCTGCATACATTTACTCTTACAATTTTAAAATAAAGTGCAAACAATTCCAGTGTACTACAAGTTCTGCCGAATGAGTAATGCCACTATCACTGCAACTCAGATGTTTGAGAAACATCAGAAGAACAACTCAAAAGGTTGCATGAATGCTCTGAATAGTCAGATTATTCCTACAGATACGACGACTGTAACGAGAAGCGTCAGATCCTTACACAGCCAACAGAAGGCATTTGGGGAAAAACAGGCAAGCTTATCTAATCAAACTTTGCCTTTTCATTGTTATTGGCACTTTAACAAATACAAACGTTTGTACTTGTAGTTAGTCATATTTGCATACACTCATCGTGCTACATTTATATATTCCATTTATTGATTTTGACAATATTAATATAACCTCCTCTTTACATGAGTATGTTGTGACCATGCTTAAGAGAGACGAGGAAACATTTTGCCCTTGTAATCATTTTTATGAGACTATGATTTGAAATTTCATATATGTTAAAGTCTTTATTTTTATCTGTCTTTCATTCACAAAGTTACTCATTTATCAAGTAGTGTTTTCACTAGTTACCAGGGTAGGAAAATGTTTACGCCTAAAGTAAATGCAGTTGTTTTTCAATGTTTTAAGAAGTACAGTACTAACAGTACTTTCTTGTGAGTACACTCCTTTCACCTCCTATGAACAAGTAATTTATTTCTTTTTTTATGTAGGCACATTAAAAAAATCCTTCTAGAGTTTCATTATAGCATTCATAAATTAGATAGTTTAGCATTTCAGGCCAGCATAGCTGTATAGACTTGTATGTACAGTACTTGGTATCATCTGAAAGATGAACTCATAGTACATCTTCAATGTCTTGTCTATTTTGAGAACTCTTATCTAACTGAGAGAATATTTTGGGGTCCATTACTAAAACTCATAGAAATGTTGCAGTCACAGAAGTGGACTGGATACTGTCATCTATGGACAGCAATGTGATTTTTACCCTTTTCTAACTACTGAATACAGTGAATCTACACACATTATAAACAAGGTCACATTTGAGTCCTTAGGACTCAGTGACCCACACAAAATCTAAAAACATAATCCTGTAAAAGGCCGTGATAAGAAACTGAGACGAGTGACAAACTGTGACAGCGAAGGTGACTCTAAGTCTCCACGGTCCTGCTAAAAATGCATATTCTTTAGTGAGAATGGAAAAAGCTGAGGCACAAAGTGGCCCAGCAGATATCAAAGCAGTTCTACTGTAAGAATGTGGTTTCTGTGAGAAGCAGTGCTGTTACAGCCTGCATACTTCAGACTCTTAAAACATCTTTTATTCTTAACCACATTATTTTGCACACACAGGTTTATAAAAATGACTTTTTTCTGCTTTAGAATACTGTATGAGTAGCAGGTTTGTAATGAATTTCCTTATATCTTAATGCTTATTAAAAATAGTTTGTAAAAAACAGCCTTTAATTTTAAATCATTATTCATATCAATCTACGAACAGGGAACTCTACAGAATCAATTAAAACATTGTGCTGTTTAAATCCAACCGCAGCCTCCTGAGCTCCTTCACCTCTCACCTTATTGGTCCTGTAAATGGAAGTCAAAATGATGGACAGAGCG